GAGCTGGCTACCAGAGGGGAAGGATCTCTTCTGGAGATCCCCTCTTTGGTATCTTCTGGTGAGCTCAACCCAAGGGTAAGCTCTTCCACTTATTCTCTTTTGTGATCGTTGTCTGCTTTGCCTTACTCTCATTGATTGTATTGCGATTGTAACATCTTGATTATACAAAATTATAAACATCTTGATTATACACTAGTAAAGACATTAAAGAGGACAGGCCTCAGTACTGACATGGGAAATACCATTCATGAGCAGTCGCCAGTTCTTTACCCAGCAAAGAGTGTACTTGTCCAAGCCATGAGCTGCCAGCTTCTCTAGTAGAATACTGTGGGAGACAGGCTTTGCTTAAGTCTAAGTAGATTACACCGGCAGCCTTTCCATCGTCCACAAGTTGGGTCACTTGATCATAGAAGGAGAACAGGTTGGTCAAGCAGGATCTGCCTTTCATAAACTCATGATGGCTGAGTCTGATCCCCTGGTTGTCCTGCACATCATGCATGATCTCACTGAAGATAATCTGTTCCATAAACTTTACTGGCACTAAGGTCAGTTCCCCAGATCCTCCTAACTGTGCTTCTTGTAAATGAGAGTTAAATTGACAGCTCTTCAATCCTCTGGGACCTCTCTGATTACCAGGACCACTGATAAAAGGTGGAGAGCGGTTTGGCAGTCTCTTCCACCAGCACTCTTAGCGCCCTCGGGTTTCTATCTGGCCCCATGGACTTATGGCAGTCCAAGTGGAGTAGTAACTATTTCCACCTGAATAGTGGAGGTTTATTCTGCTCCCTATCCCGGAATCAAGAGGCAGACTACCCAGAGGAAAACTGGTCTGACTTTTAATGATGATGTAAAGAGGGCACTGCGAGAACTTCTCCAGTAAAGACTGGAGATTCTCCTTAGCCCTCCCTTCTCTTACTGTTCATATATTTGTAAAAATGTTTTTTGTTCACTTTTACCACTGTGGACAAGTGTAGTTCAAGCTGGGCTTTTCCCTTTCTAATTTCCTCCCCTCATATCCTAACAGCTTCTTTGAACTCTCCCTATGTTGTCTGTCCCTTCTTTCACAGGAGGTAGACTCTTTTTCACCTGGAGCCTCAGAAAAAATTCCCTCTTCACCCATGCCACACTTCTTCCCTGCCAGCTCATCTTACGGCACAGGGAACAGCCTGCTACTGTGCCTTTAAGACTTCCTTCTTGAAAAGTGTCCAGCCTTCTGGGACCCCTTTGCCCTTCAGAAATGAATCCCAAGGGATCTCTATTTCCTTCCTTTTGTAATACAGACACGTTCAGTGCATATCTTTGAAGACAGAATTATCTGGGCAGTGCTATAAGTGTGGTTCTTTCTGGTTCAAAACAAGAAAGCATCCTTACTTCTGAGTATCACAGTTGATGGATTTTTGCTGCAGTATGAGATAACTACTTTCTTGCCTTGGCCATTGAAATTGTTTGCACTGTTAAACTCTACTCAACTGTATAGCGTACAAAACAGAAGGTTCTTTACTCATATTGAAATAATCAGAAGCAAAGTTAAACTTCCTCGCCTTTTGGGACTTGATGGTCCAGGCCTGACTCAATGGATGTGTCAAAGCTGAGGGACATGAAAGATCCCCTCAGCTCTTACCTACACTGTGCATCCTGGCTCCATCCTGACAGTGTTTGTGTCAGCCGAGTGCACAACATGCATCTCTAATGTTCTGGTTTACTCTGGAGGGGAGCTTTGGTGTGTGGATGGTCAGAGAGCTGTGGTGCAGATATCTCACTGTCAGGTTGTCCAAAGAAGCCAGACTGCCATAGTGCTGTCAAACTAACTTGTCCTGTATACTCTCCTGTAGATACAGGGGCTGCACTTATAAATTTCAGTTCCTATTCACTGCTCCTCTGCCGATCTATCACAGAAAATGCATCCACAGGGATCAAGTGGGAAAAGATCATTGACATTTTGAATCAATTATGATGCCTCAGTCAGTATCAGCATCCATTACGCTAGGCATCTGTACGTAAGGAAACCTTTCCATGTACATTCTGAGTACACAGCAGGACTTTTCTTGTGGCACAGGAAGGTAGTTAAGGTTTCTGACTGCAGAGATAGGACAATTTTAAGCTCTAGCCTCTAGCCTCATCAAAAGACATCCTCCACAGCTGAGACATCTCTAGGTGGATGCCTGATTGCTTTAGAGGGTGAGTCAAAAGCAACTGGTTTTGATGACAAATTCTTTCTTTCTCATCAGGCTAGAAAAGTTGAGTCAACCTATTCCAAAGGTTAAAACCAGTTCAGGTCAATGTTAAATAATTAGGAATCCAAATTCCACTGAAAAATCTCTAGAAGACAAAGATCTGCTTACTTTCCTCCTGGTCTTTACATTGATTACACTGGCCTTTGATTAAAGTTCCAAGTAAATTTTATGCGAACACTAAGTGAGTAAACACTTGCACAGCAGAAAGTTAAAAAGTCATGGTGAAGATTTTGTTTTCCTTTGTATGAAAAAGAAACACTAGCTTTTCCAAACAACACCTCTGACTTGAGCTCTGGTCTGGAGAGTCTGGCTGCAGAAGATGCAAAGCCTCACAGGTTAAATTACTGTATCTCCTACCTACCCACAAGAAGCTGGTGGATTTTTTGTGTGTTCTTTTTCTTAGCCAGGTTAGTTTTAGCTATATCTCTGCATACAGGTGCTCACTGCAGCAGCAAACGCCAAGTAGCTTTCAACCTGTCTATTTTTGCTGCCAGTAATAGTAGCCTTGCTGATGGATACATCAGCTGGTGTGAATATCTTATCACCCTGGCTTGGCTTTTGCAGCCCATGTTAAACTCATTGTGCAAAACCTTCATTATTCTCAGTCAGCTCAGGCTAAATCTACACAAAAGTCAATATTACTGCCAGATGCAGTGTAGGTATATCCCAAGGTCTCTAAACATATGCCAACCTTTATTCTTTGTGCTTGTTCCTTGGCAGTATTTCACTGTAAAAGTGTAATGGTTCCATCCTCACCCCTCCCTTTTTATACAATCTTTTCTTCGGTCATACTAATCTCCAAAGATTTCTAAAGAGCAGCCTCATTGATTTACTACCTAGATCAAGATAGAGGGAAAAAAAAAAAAAGGATAGAAACAAATGTAGATTAGATTGAACAGCTATATGAAGGATTCATAAACAGTTAACATTAAAATGTGAAGAGCAAGTTAATGACAATGTCAGAGTCAACTGGTGGTAGAGCTAGAAAGGTTAAAAATGAATACTCATTAGTATAGCCTGTTTCATGTTGGTCTTGCATGAGCCATGAAGATTACTTTTTGCAGAGATCTGAAAACCTCAACCATGCTCACAACCATTGCAAAGCACAACAGTAATATCTGAGCTGCAGAAGGGATCAGGTATCCCCAAAAGCTTTTCCTGCTCCTCTGATTATTTAGTACCTGCCAGCCACTTGCTTAAGCACTGGTGACTTTAGGATGGATAACCAGATATGGGCTGTTTATCTAGGGAGACAGAGAGAAAGCAGGAGGGATTTGCCCGCATACATTGCTCCTTGTTTTTCCACCATCTCAGCATTTGGGTTATATGGTATTTATAGACACTGCTTCAACCAAAGGGAATGATAAAAGGAAAATAAAAACATAATTCAAGAATCAGAGCTAGTGTACAACCAGCCAGCACAAACATTCATCAGCTGTGTCTGAGGGAGAGAAGACCAACTCCTCAAGCAAAATGGCTCCTGTACCTTACACTAGTGATAGAAAGTAAAGGACAGACCAGGGATCCCCTAAATAGAAATGATGCATGATTTATTATTCTTCAAAACAAGGTTTATTCAGGTTGATATTCACCTAGCCCTCAGTCTTTTCCAGCAGAAAGGTGCCCACAAATGCACACACACATACACATTTTGCTCCAAAAGTAATGCTCCTGTTTATTTCCATGGAAACCACAACAGACATAAAGAGCACAAAAACATTATTTGATAGAGAAAATTCTTGTCTTTCACACTGTTGTCACAACTTCTGAAACACACTACCTACCGCCTCTCAGTACTCACATCCACTGTTTGGTCTCCATAATCACTCAGCAAGCGTTCATGAATACCAACAGGTACCCTTTTTTCTGCATGAAAGCATTCAGTTCCACACCGTTGCTTCTTATGCACTCCCATGTCAGATACCATTTTGTCAGATTGCCCCTCTTCTGCCATCTGTCACATGGCACCAAAATGAAAGAGAATATTGGTGGGAAGGTTCCACCTCTACTGCCATCCTACCAACATCTGCCTCTGGGTGGACATAGTAATGTAAGAGGCATTAATTTTGGAGCAGCCCTCATGTGTGTTTATATACATTTATAGATATATGTATATATAGATATGTATATACACACATATTTTCTTGGCTTTGAAAGGAATGATCGCAGCAGATTTCATCACAGTCCTTTTGAGGCTTTATTTGAAGCTGAGCAGATAAATACTGTTATCAAGGTCTTTGGGGGCTCTGTCTAAACTCTATAAATATATTTGTTCAAAATAAAAATGCGAGCTGGAAGCAAGCCAGGTTTTCCTCATCCTCCTCCACTTGCTTTCTGTCCTCCAAGAGATGCCATGGATATATACATGCTGCCACATGGGCTTGTCATCCCTGAATTTTGATCGCCTCAGGAGCTGGACTGCTGATAGGGAGAGAGACTGGAACTTGAGCTAATTTCACAGTAGTTTTACTTTTTACGGCTACTTTATTTATTCAAACTTTTCCATCTCTTTCCTAATTGCATGGCAACATAAGCCCATATGTACCAGGAGGTGTGCATACATTGCCTTCAGAGGCAATTTGCACAGCCTCTGTTTCCTGTCATTTGCCTTACCTGTACACTAGGTATAAATTCCTGCTGCAGGTCTGCTCAATTACTATTGAAGGGTCACTGAGCAGGTAGAGGGAGGAAAAGTAGGCCATCAATAAAAATAATAATAATACAGAAGAACTTTTGATGCTCTCCGCAAATCAGCGATATTGTTCTTTTGGATGTCAAATGAGTACATGTGACTGATTACAAGATAAGCTTAGAAAGCAGCTGAAAATCAAATAGAAATGTCTTAACTACCTCCTTGTCAGCGGAAAGCATCACCAAGCCTATTGTTACCAGCATAGCTAGTAAGCTTGCTGCATGCAAATAACACATGATTTATTTCACAGACTTTGAGATAAACCCAGTAATCATTTGAATTACTGTTAGTCTAAAGTATACCGTAGAACTAACAAGGGGAGTACTAAGGGGAAAAAAAAGGAAGGAAATATGTGTAAAATATAATCCTGTTACCATCTGCTGCACAGTGAATAGCATCGTCAGTACAGGAAATGAATAAGCTGTGGATCTGGATATCCCTTGGACCTAGGAGATGAGTTGTAGATGGTTTTTCATTGAGCTGACCTCGTAATATAGACATGTGTTCGAAATGTGTAGACACTGCTCTCTTTACTGTGGCAATACCGCCCACATTTTTTTCCTTGCTTCATGTTTGTTATTATGTTTAATTGGCCAAAATGATTGACATAGTTCTGCTTCAATACAAATTCTCCTGAGTCAAGGGTTGGGGCTTAGCAAGGGGATTAGAAATAGACTTGAGTTGATGTTAATGAATTCCTGTCTAGCACAAAGCAAGCAAGGTAGAGAACAATAATATTACATTTCTTCAATGGATTTGTTCATGTTTCCTCTTCCCAGCCCCTGAAATTAGTATGTTCTTTACGCTTCCATTTTCCATTTGGCATTAAATCATGAGTATTTAATGTTTGAAATGTGCAGTTTATAATCAGTCAGTTCATTATTTAATGGAGGATCTATTTCTTCTTATACCTGGGAAACCATTTTTACATTAAATGTTACTTTCTGAAGATGCAACTGCCACAAGCGCATGGGATATAAAACACAAAGCAGATGGGGTTGTTACCTGCAGAGAGATTGAGAACAAGTTTTATTTCCCTCAAGAAAGTCTCTGTCTGTGTGCCACTATCGTGAAAATGTCCATTTTCTGACTCAAGCTTAAGCCAGAGGAGTCTGCTGCCAAGTGATTACCTGCCTGTTTTGGCATTCATTGCTTGCTTTTTGTCTCAGAGCCATACATTCCTGGAGATGGGACAGAAAGTTCACAGACTGGGATTATTTAGCTGTGGCTGACAAAATCAACATAGTAGTGGTTCCTCATATTTCCATTATTTCTTCCTAGCAATTAAAGGTGCACCATGATCTGAACTCCTAAAGAAAAATGATGCCACTGGTACTACAGGATGTAATTGTAGCACTAAATGTAGAGATGGTAAAAGTCACCATTGAGCTCAGGGCAGATTAACTACCTAATTCTGTGGGGCCTGAAGTGTAGAAGTGAAAGAAATCAAAAGTACTATACCTGGTGCAATTATTAATAAAACAATTTACATAAAGTCACAGAATCATTTGAGTTGGAAGGGACCCTTAAAGTCACAGAATCATACAATCATAGAATCCTTAGACTTGGAAGGAACCCTTAAAGGTAATATATTCCAACTCTTCTGCAACGAACAGGGACATCCACAGCTCGATCACGTTGTCCAGAGCCTGATTCAGCCTCACACTCCATTGCCTCTCTGGGCAACCTGTTCCAATGCCTCACCACCAACAGTGTAAAAGACTTTTTCCTTATATCCAACCTAAATATACCCTCTCTAAGCTTGAAACCATTTCCCCTTGTTCTGTCACAACAGACCCTGCTAAAGAATCTGTCCCCTTTTTTCTTTCAGACCCCCTTTAGATAGTGAAAGGCTGCTGTCAGGTCACCTCAGAGCCTTCTGTTCTCCACGCTGAACAGGCCCAGCTCTTTCAGACTGTCCTTGTAGGAAAGGTGTTCCATCCCTTGGATCATTTTTGTGGCCCTCCTCTGGATGCACTCCAACAGGTTCATGTCTCTCCTGTACTGAGGACTCCACATCTGGATGCAGTACCCAGGTAAGGCCTTACCAGTGCAAAGAAGAGGGGAAGAATCACCTCCCTTGACCTGCTGGCCGTGCTTCTTTTGATGAAGCCCAGGATACGATTGTCTTTCTGAGCACATTGCTACCTTATGTCCTTCTGAGCACATTGCTAGTTTATGTCCAGCCTCCCATTCTCCAGTATCACCAGGTTTTTTTCAGAAGGACATTTAGCCATAGCAAGTCCATCTAGCCTAGTTCCCCTGCAATGAACAGGGACAGCTACAGCTACATCAGATTGCTCAGAGCCCCCTCCAGCCTGACCTTGAATGCCTCCAGGGACGAGGCTTACATCACCTCTCTGGGCAACCTGTTCCAGTGCCTCACCACCGTCACTGTGAAAAACTTTTTCATTTTTCCAGGCATGTATAGGTGTAAGTGTATGGAATTGAAGATCTGCTATATTAAACGTGCCACAGATCTTCTGAAATCTTCTCACAATGTCTTCAAGCTATGTATTTTTCTTCAGCTTTGTAAATTCTCTCCTTGAGTCTCAACTTCAAGTGAAAATTCTTCTTGTTCATGTTGAGTCTGCACACATAGTGTGCCAAGCAGTGAGGTGCTCAGGAAAGCTTGTACATGCACCACTAGTGCAGAGTCTTCAAATTACATAGAAAGGAGTCTGAAGACGCTAGCCCTCTTTTTCTGAGGTCTACAGAGATAAAGTCACCTACGTGCAAGGGCTCTTCCTATTGCCCTTTTCCCTTGGCCCATCTACCTCTGGCTGTCAGAGCTCTCAGGCAATAATCAGAGTCTCCAGCTACTTCACTCTGCAACCCAAAAACCCAGCTATGGATAAGACCTTTAACCTTTGGATTCAGAGCCTGAGGTGGTTATGCACTAAGAGTAGGTCTTTAAAGAAGGTAAACTATAGGTAGGCTAATCCCCGTCCACACTTGATGGGTGAGCTGCAGCCTGAGAGCTCTGTTATATCAACATCACCCCTGCACGTTACCTAAAGGAGGAATATCTGGCCAAAGAAATCCAGAGCATGCTCCCCTCTTGCTATAGATTTGTTCTGTGCTCATTTTTTTTTTCTGTGTCATCATGAAAATCAATCATGCAGGCTGTCTTACAGAGACAGAACACTAGGGCAGCTGGACATTTAATCTGACGCAGGATGGCATATATGTGCTCTTTCTTCTTGTTTAAACTGCACTGCATTGCTTGTGATGAATAGCTCTAATGGCCCATTTTCAAATCTGCAGATCAACTATACTGCTGGCTTTTGGTGTTCTAGGAAGGTAGGATATGGATTATTAAAGCTTTAGAAAGTTAAAGAGGAGATTAAGTGTAGCCCACATTGAAGGTATAATAGAGAAAGAAGAAATAGCAACAACAAAAAGGTAATTTATTGGAAAAAAAAAGTTTATGTTTAGGTTTGTTTGGTTTTTTTTTTTTCGTTTTGTGATGGGAGAGGGCTTTAAAAGAATGCACCTTAAGATTATAACTTTTACTTCTTATTGGCAGCAAGTCTAGAAACTCTCATGAAAGCTCTGTGACCTGAACTGTGCAAAATAACTGTTACTAAAAGTCCTCTCAGTTCTCAATCATTTTAAAATCTTTTTCTTGTGACTGAACCTTTGTGTTACTCGATATGTCACACCTGACTTGCATTTCCTTTTGCTGTGGTCTGTATATTAATGCTGAAACTGGAAGCAGAGGGAATATAGGGAGAGATGAATGTGAACCGCCAGGATTTTATGCTTTGAAATGACCCTCCCAAGAGTTTTAAGTGAAAACACATGTAGATCTTTCAAAAATGTAAATAAATCCTTCACAATTGTTCTAGAATTCTTACCCTTTTTGTTCAGCTTTGTTTCTAGCCAAGAAACTGTCTACATTCTTAGTCTAAACATATTCCTCTTGTCTTTACTTTTTCATAATTAAACACACTTTCCATAGTGTGTAATCCAACTGGGGCAGGCCTACATGATTGCCTTTCCATATTGTTATAAATCAGAGCCTCTCTGCAGAAAGAGGGACAAAATCTGTGAGTCTACCCAAGCAAAACATGAAATGAAACAATACCCAAAACAGATTTAAATATCTCCACAGTTTGCCTAGTCCTTCTTAGGCTCCACAGCACCTGGCAGTAACAATAAAAAAGGATAGGCACTGTGGTTCTGCATGTGTCTGGAGAAGTGCGTTTGTTTGAAGATCCTGAGTGGCCCCA